CTATCCTACGCTGCATCAAGAATCAACTAAACCTGACAGGTGAAAAAGATTTTTGATCAAAAACTTCTACCAATTGTCTTAGACTTATTACTAAAGCCTGACACTTTTACAATCATTATATTTTTTTCTACAGCTGAGAAAACTTATCACTTAGTACATTACAGTATTAACAGATCTAAATACAACAGCTCCTCAAACAAACAATAGTATGCTACTATGCTGTACAATGTTTTCTCGTGTACCAGTTTTACTATCACCTGTCAACTTTTGTATTAATCTTTTTTTATTCTTAAGGTGCAACTAGACACACCAGAACTAATATAATTTAGTTGGGAATCACTAATTTAGACTGGATGGTAAAACTTTGAATAATTAATAGAACCTTAGATACATGTAACTGCAATTTTCAAACAAGAATAGGAATGAGAAAATCATAAGAAATTGTTTGGTGATCCAGTGAATAACAGCTTACAGTTAAATTTCTTTTTTGGTATCTTGGCATGGTTGAGCGTGTACAAAAAATTCTTGACAGTTTCAGCATTAAATCGAGCAGTATACTGCAAAATGTAAGATGGTTCAGCAGCATAATCAAATGTAAATCGTTAATAACTGAAGACAACCAAGGTACCTGAACAACCACTACATAATACTTCGAATTGTTGCGGTCACTACAATCAACGACATTGGACTGCGCTTGTGTATTAACCTAACAAAAACATAAAGGACTTAGCCTAGAGTATTGAACGTTTAAATTCAATGTTAAGATAATTACTAAGGAAATTAGAAGATAAGTGTACCAAGACGATGCTTTTGCAAAGATGATCAATGGAAGCCGCACCAAGGATGTCTCTTCGTGATTCGAGAGGGCAGTCGTAGTAATCAGCCGGGACTTTCTTGAATAAAAACTCGTTCACGCCATTCGATTGAAGAATGTTCGAGAGGCGAGCTTCGGTGTCACAGATTGAAATTGGCTCAGGATGCGGTGCAGAGACGGCGTCGTTTTGGGGAAGGTAAGTGTGCTCCAGTTTTGATATTCGTTCCAGTATTTGAGTTTGGACTCGCTCCAGCTCCGCTAGTGTTTCCTCCATTGTGCTGCCTCTTCTTCGCGGTGCGACTGTGAGCGGTCTATGTGACGATCTGGGCTGTTCATCTTCATTTAGTCCCTTGAAATTTGAATGCTGTCCTCATTTGTTTAACTACAATCTCTGGGCCTCCACCTCATAATTTAGATACCTGAATGGTCCATTAACGTGTACAGGACTATCAAAACTTAGGATGGTTAATTATCGTTTTTTTATATTATTTAAAAAAAAAATTATGTAATACTTGCTCATTTATTATTTCCCTTATTTAAAATAAAAAACAAATAAATCAAAAAATATTAACAATAGTTGAAAAAATGAAAAGGCACAAAACATATAAAAAATAAAAAGTATTCTACATTTCTGTCTCTATTTTGTCATAATATTAATACTTACCCTGGAAAAAATGATAGGAAACGCGTGTTCACTAATTTTAATTTTCAGATAGGCCTACGGTCCTCCCCTGAAGTTTCAGTTTAAATATTCACACCCCAAAGCTATGAAAATTACCTTGACCTCCCCTCACATTTAAAGAATTATCCAATACCTCCCCTTTAGCCGTTAGTTGATGCTTGCTATGTCATCTCGTATATTTCATTTACCTCCTTTGAGATTTTTGTAGGGGAAATCCAATAGGCGTGGATTCATGCCATGTGTCCCAGGAATTTGCTTTTGTTCAACAGTTAGATCTATATCATGTGCCAACCTACCTTGAACTAATCTCATTTACAAGTTAAGTGAACATTATCCACAAGTTAAAGGTTGCCAATAAGTTAGACTTCACTTACAAGTTTACTATATAAAATGATTTTTTACCAACTTGTAATTTGTAAAAATCTCTAAGAGAGGTCTTCTTTCTTCTACACACATATCTCATTGAGAGAAGAGAGCAACTCTTTGTAATTTGTAATCGAAGGGAAAAACACCAAAAGCAATAACATGACAATGGACGTAGACTTGGTTTTAACTCATCGAACTACTCTAAAAATATTATGTCGTTTCTTCTTGTTTTTAGCTTGTTTATCTCTCATTTTCGACCTATTCGTTCCCCTTTGTTGATTGATCACAATTATACAATCATCTGACTTGGTCTTGTTAAAGTCGATTGAGTATCACTAATTGTTGCGAATTTTCGTAACACTAGGGATCAATTAATATTCAACTCATCCACTTTTGTTAAGAAAATAATAAAAACACCATTATCATTAATATTATGTTAGTTCCATCCAATTTTTATTTAAAAGTCTATTTTACCACCTCCTATCACTTTCCAACTTCACAAATTTCTTAAAACCTTCACTTAATAAATATTCAAATTCATTAAGTCAACCTTGTACTTACAATTATATTTTCCCAAGGAAGGTTACAGATTTAGGTGATATTTAGATAAAAGAGAACCCATGATAATTGTGCTTTTAAAGAGAAAAAGTAGCTAAATTATTAATGATAATTATTAAAAAGGAGATTAATATGAATAGAATAATTTAAACTTGACTAAATGAATGAGAGATGTTAAATTATTGATTTATCTACTTTAGAAATAATTATATTTAATTAAAATAGAGTGATGATATTGGTCTCCTACCTTTTATCTTAGTTGACCCCAATTACTATTTTTTTTCTTAATTACAGTTTTATCCTTTATGAAAATTACTAAATAAGACTCAAAAGTATTTGTACACAATTCATCTAAATAAATATTTTGATTTTAATTTAAAAAACCTATTTCTTTTTCTAAGTCATAAACCCAAATTTTATTTTGAAATAATCAAAGATGCAGTGTGCTTGATCAATAACATATATGCATTAAATTCTTTGAGTTTATTTTATCATATTTTATTACTTCTAACTTTCAATTGATTTGCACCTACAAACTTTATAAGTTTATTATTCCTTTTTTTTTTTTTTTTAAAGAAAACACATGTGATGCGAATGTGAATAATTGCTTATATGCTTGATTGATATGTTAAATAGAGATTAAAAAAAAATGTATATATAAAACAAGTAGTACTAAGACATTATAGCATACATGAGTAGTAAAAATATAAAGGTGAGGGTTAATTTGTAAATGGATAGAGTTTATTTAGTCATTTAGATAATATTTAAAAAAATTGGAGTTAATTTAGAAGTGGGTTTTATTAAGGATAAAAATTATGGAGGACCAATAGCATCACTCTTAAAATATTAAAAGATCTATATGTTATTAAACTAATCGTTTAAAAAGAAGAGATAACTAAATAGTCTCTGATAATCATTTAAAACAATTTTATAGTATCAAATGTTTTAAAATCTATATTATAAAATAAAAGAAACATGACTAGATAATTTATAATCAACCTTAAACTAATTTAGAATAGACAAAATTAAAATAAACGGTCTTTTGGTTAAACTAGTTTTTTTATTAAAAATAATTAAAATGATTTTTTTTAAATGATTTATAAAAGCAATGAGGAATTAAAAATTCTTTTTTTAAATTGATAAATCATGGGAGGGTAAAGTAGACTTTTAATTTATGAACTCTAACACATCACTAATAACATAGGTATTTTTAATATCTTAATAACGAATGGATGAGTTCAATAGCAATCGATCTCAAAGGGAGGTAAATAAAATTATATAAGATGACATAACCTATCAACTAACAGCTAAAAGAGGAAGTATTGGATAATTCTTCAAATGTATGGGGAGGTCAAAATAATTTTTCTTACCTTTGGGGTCTGAGGGGTTTAAGCTGAGACGTTATGGGACGTGTGGGATGATAGTAGTTTCAATTTTCAAACACTAATTTTAGGGAATAATGGTAAAACACATTTTCAAATTCTGAACGCACAAAATTAAAGTAATCATTTTATTTTTAAAAACAAATATATTAAATATAATAAAGAAATCTACCTAAATCTATTTTAATTAATTAATTTTTTATTCAGAGAAATTTTTGACTTATTTGTTTAATTATATATGTCGATTGATTTACTTTTTTTTGGATTTATATTTAATTTTATAAAAAGAAATTGATGCATGAAGTTTTTGACTAACCATTTTGATGATTAGACATTATGGATTGAAGACTTCTAAGAATTAAATAATATAAAGAGTCGATAACAATAATCCCCCTCAGATATTATCAAATAATAAAATCCCTTGTTGTTAGAGAAATAATAGAAATTATCGTTAATTTTTAGTGTTAAAATAAATGGTAGAGGGGCAATTAAATAAATATCAATTCACCTATCTTGTTATAAACTCTAATGGTGAACTAAAAGTTAATTAACGATTTTTGTTATTTCCGAAATCTCAAGAAAACTTGCTATTTTATTAAACCTTAGAGGGTCAAGATAAAACCCCTAATATAAATATTAAAAATTAAAACAGTAAATATTTAGTTGATAAAGACTAACTATATGATAATGAAAAAAATGTAATATCAAGAGTTTGTATAAAGTAATACTAGATGCAAAAGATTATATATAAATTTTTACATATAAAGTGAATGACGTAAAATGCTTGAAATAATATACATAAAAAAACCAATTAAATTATTACTAATAAATAAATAAGAATGACATAACAATAAAAGATGTATGTTACTTCAATTTATGTATAATTTTTTTTTTTTATATATATATATAATAACACATTTTATCTCACAATGTTAATTGTAAGAAGTAAGCATAAAGTGAATGTTGAAATCTTGAGAATTTTTTTTTTTTTTTTTTTTTAATGAGTATGATTCTTCTGTCTTCAATGGTTTACCCAAGATTTCTATTGATGGTCGAGATTATTTATGCTTATATATATGTGTGTGTGTGTGCGCGCGCGCGCGCGCTTCAAGCTTCAAATGTTGATTAATAATGATATCACACATGATATTTTAATAATTTTGTAAACTTTGTATTAATATATTATAAATAATACAGTTTAAGTAGTTATAGGTGCGTTTGGTTTATTATTTTGGATAAGATTTTGAGAATAATATTGGATAGTTGAGTAGGGTTATGATTACGAGATTAGGATTTGAAAAATATGTGTTAGGTAGAGTATTTTTACCTTGATATTTGTATTGAATATTTAATTGATATACTTTTTTATAAATGATTTATTAATATAATATTTTGGTGCATTTTGTTAAAATAATGTATTATTATATATATAACTTATCAATTTACATTTTAATAATATTAAACAATTTATTGGTAATTTTGTCACCAGTAAATATTAAAAAACAAAAACTCATATTAATTTCAAGTACTAATCCAACTGTTTAAAAACATCACATTAATACATATATGACAAAAGTACTAATTATCAACATTTACAATCGTTCTTACACATATACTCTATTAACAACTACGACATGGTCCACTATGCTGCCCACAATGTATTCGTTATGTTATCCCGTACAATCGTCATATTGTCCATAATTCCTTGATGCGGTTGACTCGGTCCTTCTCCATTTTAGCCATCTTCTGCCCCGTTTTGGCGATCAGAATATACTTGCTCATTACCTGTATTTTCAGTATACTGTTCGAATATAGGGTCCTCCATATGGTACATTTTGATATAATTATGAAGTACACAACATGCCATAACAATTTTCCCTTGTTTGTCTAACGGGTAATTGTTCATTCCATTCAGAATATAGAACTGTCTTTTCAAAAACACCAAAGGTTCCCTCAACAACATTGCGCAATGAAGCATGTCTATAGTTAAACAACTCTTGTGGCCCCTTTCGGTTACGACGGTGATCAGAAATATGGTAAGCCACTTGCCTACGAGGGGCGAGGAACCCCTCTCTATTTGGATAACCCGCATCAACCAAATAGTATTTCCCTATAATAAAATCATACATGTTATTTGAATTATAGGGCCTCAACAGTTGAGCAAATATGTTATAATACGTCAAGAAAATACTTATACCAGGTGGAGAATGTGGGAATCCAAAATTAGGATCATCAATAATTGAATTTAAAACTCTTGAATCATGTGCAGATCCTTCCCATCCAGTAATGACATAAGTGAACATCATCCTAAAGTCGCATGCAGCCAGTACATTATGTGACAACGTTCCTTTGAGATTCCGATACCT